CTTTGCGTTTAGCCAGATAAAATACTTTTTACTAATTATCTTGTAAAAACATTTTCAGTTTGGTGACTTAACATTAGTTTTCTACAACTAAACTTAATTCCTGCCAGGTATCTTTAATGTTACAGCTCTGTACTTCCAGATTATCTAGTTTTAAGGATGCTTCACGAGCCTTTGAAATTGGACTTAGATAATTGAAAAAAATCACTAAAAGTTTGAAAATATATTTTTTCTCTCCTTAAATATTAAAATATTGAAATTTTGGTTTGAGTTGTGGCAAGTCAATATCTCAAAAGTTTTACAACAATCTGTGATATTTATCTGAAGCATCGAACTAAAGCATCGCAATGCAGGAATAGTATTTGTCAAGACATTAGTTATTAAAAAGCGAAAATGAAAAAGTAGTGCTAGCTTGTTTTAATACTTCTAACTTGGCTAGATCACGACCAGGCAGCTTTTGCAAATTAGTGTCAGTGCAGGTTATTTTATAATTCTGTGTTTCACGAGAAACTGCAAACAAAAAAATAGGAATGTGGGGATGGGAATGCCGTGTGCAACTTAACAGCGTTCCAGTTTAAAGTCAAAAGAGCAGCAGGATACGCCAGCTGTTGCTGCTTTTCAAGTCAGATATTTCTTGGTGTTGTTAAGGAGCATGTTCACAAATAGATGCAACACAACACAACGTGTGCCGATGGGTTTAATGTGGGGAAGCTGAGTAACGTTTGGCCATCCCCGTGGCCACATAAACTGAAGGTAATAATAGAGGTAATAAAGCAGAGTTGTCCTTTAATCTAATACAACTATCAAGGGATATTTTTTTTCCTTCTCCAAGCCTTATCAGTAAAGCCAGAACTCTATTCTGCAGCCTTCCTGAAAATATCACTGCTCTGCATAACTCCAATCCACAGCATTTCATCTCTTTAAAAAACAAACAAACAAAAAAACACTTTCAGCCAGTTAAAAGAAATGGGCTGCTGTGTGAGAGACCGCCCCACATTACAAAATGCTTGTGACTGAAAACCTCAGAGCAAGTGACATCAGTATGATATCGTTTCTTTTTTTCCTTTTTCATTTTAAAAAGAGCAAGTACCACAAGTAGATCTTAAACTAAGTCACCTCAGTGGTTAGAAATAAAGAAATCCAGGTATCAAAAGAAGAGTATTGTCTTTGCTTAAGCCCTGCAAAAATAACTCTGCTGCCAGGAGCCGTTTCATCTGTTCGGTTAAAGTATTTCAGATAGAAATCTCATGCAGCTTGGTTTTTAGACTTTTTTTTTTTTTTTTTTTGTTAGGTGGTCTGGGCCGCTTGACATCAAACTGTGGTGAAAGATTGGAGCTCGAGGAAGACGGAGGAGATTCCCCATTGGATAATTTTGCCGTTGTACAGGAACGTACCTCACGTGATGGGAATTTGACCATTGTCTCCCATTTATATTTATAGTGGTGTGCAAAACACGTGGGAGAAACTTGTCACCGACGTCACACATGTGGTGCATAAACATTTAAACATTGCAAAAATATATCTTCCATGTACATATTGTGTCTTGTAGATGTAGACAAATTAAAAAGTAAATTAGACACTTGAGAATCTAAACATCAATCAGTCTCGAGTGGCAGAGCACCTCCCTAACGCGGCGCCCTCTGTGCAGGAGTTCACAAGGACGTAAGGTAGGTGTATAGGAAGTAATTGTCCAACACATCACACAGGTGATGTTTACAGGGCACGTAATCATTCATAAAGAGGACACTGCTGTTGCTATGAACATGCAACAACGATTAGGTGGGTGTTGTGTACCACAAGATCCAAAAGTTCCCGCTCTCCATCTTTACTTTGTTGCCACCTGCTCACAAGAAAAAGAACTATGCGCCACGATCCAGTTCCAGGTCAGCCCGTTTTTAAGCTCCTGACCGATTTGTGACTATCCGGTCTACGCTGTAGCGTTCGACATGCATCAGAACCCTTAATAGGCCGACCTTTGCTCCCCACGTTCAAGTCTTGGTTGCTTATTTAAACTAGAGAAGCTAAAGTTGCTCCTGGATGGAATAACTTGATATTTCTCTGAAACAGTCATCGCTTCTCGAGCTAATTTAGATTTACCGTCCTGCAGAATTCACCGTTCTCTTGCTCCCAGGTCAAAGATAATCGGACTTCACTAACGTTGTGGCTGATCGGTGTTTATGGACACTGACGACAAATACATTTTCTAGGCTATGTTAACTTAAAGTGCTAGGATACTTTTTGAACAGGCCGCAAGCATAAAAGGACTATTCTGACTAAAACTTCACTGTCATAAAAAAAAAAAAAAAAACAGAAGACATTTCCTCGCAGCAGCCCTTCCCTGCAGGGCATCGTCAAAACTGTTTTTGTGTAAAATAAACTCACTCAGATGGATTCGGGTTCATTTTCTCCATCTTGTCCAGTCACTTTGCTCGAAGGTAAATGTGAAATTGGAATGCTTTATTCTCCCGTAACTGCCTTGTTTTGTTATTCTTTATTTTAAAAAGCAACCTAGTAAAATCTCCCTACCAGTTTCACTTAGCAATAAACTTCTTTCACAATCAAAAAACACATTCCTACACGTCTTAGTTTGCCCTTGGCTCCTGCTGAACAGGATAACTGCAAAATAATCTACATGTTATTCAGACTGATTACTCAAATCTCCCTGATTAAATACCGATAAAAACTGAGACTAACTTTAAGGCGTGCTGAACCCTTGAACCTGCCGGTGTGCCTCTCATGCATCAGGGTTGGCATACTCGGCTAAATAAAGGCGCGCTACAACGCGAAGTGGAAAAATAAAGAAGGTATCTGAAACTTTATTCAAACTTCAAAACCAAGCTAAGAGCCAAAACAATCAGATCCAGAGAGTATAGAGGCAGACCTGTCTGTAAAGAACTCTAATGACGGGGCCCACAAATCCAAGACGGATCTGTGTTTCAGAACTTTTCCAAAAAAAAAACAAAACAATCCTTTCTGTTGTTTTCTATCAATCCCTACAGATTATGACACAAATCTAAGTGGTTCACCCCCTAAATGTGATTCCTACATGTGTCCTACATGGACGGATCGGCTGCACTCTTATATAAACCTGTAAGAGGAAAAGAGAGCAGGTGTGTGGGTTTGTTTGGCCCATGGGCGATCATATCTTGCTGTTCTCCAGGTGGGAGTCAATGTGCTTTATGAGAGCGTCGTCGGGATATCCGACGGGGAAAATCAGTTGGCAGAGAGGGCAGCTCCTCATGTCGTTCTCCTCGCTCTCCATCCAGAGCTGCAGAGGAAAAACAAACAAGTTCACACACAAGAAATCAGCCCCCCCCGCATCCCCTCACCCCAAACGTCACATGTGAACTAAGTGACCCGAGTGGATAATTGAGTCAGTGTTGGAAAAAGCAAAAGCCTCTACTTCATGCGGGGCTACATTGTGCTAAACCGATAAGATGATTGCTGAATTGCACACGTCTGGATGTAGAGATAAATTTAGATTTTTATGCAATAATCAAAAGCTATTCATCTTACATGCTTTTTGAAAAAAGAAAATCAAGTTACTGTCCCACTTAGAGCTGAATATTTATGCATGGGATGTGGTGGATGTCTCGCAGTTTAATAAGTGGAATGAAAATAAAAAAAAAAAAACAGGTCTGACCTTTCACCCACAGGACTTTGTTTCACCAGTCACCTTTAACATACTTGTTCTTGACAGTTAGTCATAACAACCCCTTTACCCTCACGGCATCCTTAGTGACTATCAAAGGTGTTAATAATCTCAAAGTGTTATGCTGAATGAAATGCCTGCCTGAATTGCTGCCAATACGTGTTAAAGTCCCATTACTTTACTGATAAAATTCCTAATTTAAGGTATGAGACGCTAAATCGTGAACCTTTAATGTATTCAGTCGCACGGTTTTGTGCTGAAAGAAGCTCCAAGCAGTTTCTCTTAAAAAAAAAAAAAAAAAAAGTTTTTGTTGCTTTTTCTCTCTAGTTTTTAGAAAGTGGTGGGGAAAAAAACCGTAGAATTCATTTCTCTCACTGGCTTCTGAATGGTTGATCAGATCCTCATGTCGACTCCTTCACCAAAAGCTTATGAAAAAAACCAGCAAAAAAAAAAAAACCTAGCAAGAAATGTACCCGAAAGTATTCAGAACCAAGCACAGATCACCCTCTGGAGGTTGTGTGAAGGATCCTCCCAGCCAGCATGCCTAGGTGGGCCCCATGTGGGGACAAGGAGGGCAGACTATATGGGTCCCATATGGGTTTGTCCGCGGGTTCCACGATGGCCCCACATGGGTTTGCCCATGTAGGGCCAGAGCCCACATGGGCCCTGCATGGGCCCTATATGGTGGTGGCCCACATGGGTTTTGTCCAATTAGGGCCCATGTAGCACCCATGTGGGCTGTGGCCCTACATGGGCAAACCCATGTGGGGCCATCGTGGAACCCGCGGACAAACCCATATGGGACCCATATAGTCTGCCCTCCTTGTCCCCACATGGGTCCCACCTAGGCATGCTGGCTGGGCTGGAAGCGTTTTTATGTTATTTTTCCTTCCTCCCCCATCATGCTCAGATTCATCCAGTTAATTTATTTAAGACTGACATTTTTTTTTTCCCTTTTTGTTCAATTTGATTCCTGCACAGGTCCAGAAATAGGTTTCAGTTCCTGTTCCTGACCCATTCGGTTCCAGTTCCTGACCCATTCGGTTCCTTCTACTTAGGTGGTAGCGGATATGACAGGTGGTTCCGAAACGTTCAACCCCAACACGAGTACAACAAGCAGAAGATATTAGCTGCAGTGGCTATCGGATCAAGTCGCGAAGCTCTCCAACTACTCAAAGCAACATTATTCTATCTAGTAAGACTGATGGGTGGTTATATTAATATTTCAAAATGGATGGTTTTGTCTTTTTTGTAAGAAGCGGGAAAAGCGTAGTGGCCTTCTTTCAAGTGGTGGTGACAAGCATTGTACAGCAATAAGCGGGGAAGGGGCCACAAACCCACTTTGTTCTTAAAACAACATAAATTGAACTCAAGTCACTCTTACACTAATCAAACAGTTCATTAAAAAGACTTTAAACAATAGAAGTTAGTTGCTCTGGAGTGAACCAAAATGTAAGTTTCCTTATTTTATATGCTAATTGAGCCTTAACATCTTGACTCCATCTCTGTTCATCATGCACAGTCATAAGAGTTTTATCAAACTTCTCTTCTCGCAGAAAACGAGACGATTTCACAACGTGCTGGCCGAGCCTCCTAACGGAACTAAAAGGCATCAGGAAGATTGTGAAATATAGTGTGAAAACTAATTTTAATAGAAAACTTTTTAGGGCTAAAAAGCTGCTTAGTATTTGGTCAACTAAGCTCAGAGTTTCTAAGGTAACCTGCAGACATGATGAAATGCCACACGGCCGTTTGAGAACCCGTCTCGATGAGCGCGACTGTACTTTCAGAACACCTGAAACGTGTGGTTGCACATTTTTACAGCGGTACAGCTCGCTCCGCACTTAATAGCACATGGTGACAAATATCGTAGGTTTATAATCTGTTACAGAAAAGTAAAGAATGCAATTCAATCTGTAATCTGAGTAAATGTATCTTATTGGGGGAGCGGGTGGGAATTCACATTAACCAATATTTGGTTTGAGCAAAATGTCTTCTGCTACACTTGCAACTAGTCTGCAAATACAGCAGACTAGTCTGCAATACTAATATGCAAAGTGTAAAATAACTAATTTTACACTTTGCAAAAATTTAGGAACCTCTGGAATTTTAAAGAAATGTTATGCATTCCAAAAATGTCCTCATAGCTTTTGAAGTAGAACATTAAAAAAAAACTCAGCACCACAGATCCTCTACTGTGCAGTTAGTATGAAATCATTTTCCACATATTCATTTGTGCCAAACCCGCCTGGAGTGGTTGAGGCAGAGCAAATCAATCGAATGTTTAGCAAGCTCTACGGATTTCTCTTTGCAATGGCAGGACAGAAAATGCTTTCTTCAGGCACGTCCTCCAGATATCCAGCTGACATGTAGATAGCGTCCAACGGTTGCTATGGAGACTTTGTGACCCTGTCATCTCCTCTCGACCAAGGCAGAATATTATATATATAAGCAGCAGCGGCTGTTTGTGGCCAAACCATGAGATGAACACAATTTAAAGTTGTATTTAATAATAAACTGTAAATAATATATATTTTTATATTTGTTTAGCATTAAAAAAGGGGGATACGTGGACATTCAGGAAATAAAATATAACTTATTGGTAAGTTTTGCCCTCAACAAGTTTTCTATTGCCTTTATGCATGTGGCTAAATGGGAAGTTGTGTGATAGGTTCTTACTGCTGAGAATTATGAGAATTGCCTCTGCTTTATATATATCTATTTATATATTTTTTTATTTTACATAACCACGACGCGAAACCTCACAAAAAGTACTGGATATTTTGTGAAAAATTGAAAGAAAAAAAAGAAAAAAAAGAAAAATGTGGGTTAATATTGACATTTATGTACTTTCTGTATATTATCAATCCATAATATTTACTCGGACCGTATAAATTCGAGATGAACTCCTATGAACAAGTCTGACTGAACAGACAAGTGTGAAGAATGGCGCATAATTAACTTTGTATTAACTCACGTTAATGGAAGGCCAAGACTGAGCATGCTCTGATGTCGCGTACCCCTGCTGGGGATGGCAGCTGAGGTTATTGGGCCTCTGAGGGATGGGGAAGGCTGTGCAGGATGCCGGGCCCCTCATGATGCCGCTGGGTACAGCAGGAGAGAGCACACCAAGAGTCCTTGGGGGGCTGATGGGATGGGGGCAAGTCCACTCCTCTTCATCCTCAGAGGATTGAGGCGGTTGGGGGGCAGGCTGGGAAGGAGGAGGTGGCTCAAAATGGAGGTGTGCCACCTCCGTCAGGGGGAAAGGCATCTCTCTGGAGTGGCGCATGGAGCTCTCCGCCATGCTGCTGTCTCCGCCTGCCGCGGCTTGAAGGGGCGACGGGGACCCGCGGTGCTGCAGTCCACTGTGAGGGGAGCCGACGTGTTGGGGCTGTTGCTTTGGGTAACCCTCGACGTAGGGCCGAGGCTTTGGCAGGGTGGAGACGGGGTCTAAGGAGAAGCGAGGCGGGCACTGGTAGGCTGAGGGGTCAGCTACCTCTGAGTAACTGCGGCGACCCTGGAAGCTGGCTCTCAGGTGCTGGGTGGGCGGTCGGTAGGAATAGGAGGCAGGTCCATCGCTGACGTCCAGAAGCGGGGAGCGGCGGTGCATGTCGGGGGACAGGCGCTGCAGCACTGGAGAGCGCCGCTGCTGGATCGGGGAGTGATGTGGCGGCACTGGCGAATGCCGCTGAGAGATGGGGGAGTGGCGCTGGGAAACTGGAGAGTGACGCTGGTGGTGGATGGGAGAATGGAGCTGCACTGTGGGAACAAAGGCGGGAAAAACCTCCAATCAGACGCCTCAAACGAAACAAACATCTTCATGCTTCATGGTAAAGTGATGAAACGGTGGGAATATTTCACGTCGAGGACTGAGTTGAATCTATTGCCTCTACTTTTATTCAAATCCAAGTAGAAGCACAATATAAAGCATAGTATACTGTGCACATCATTTGATTAAGTGGAGATAAACTTTCTACACAGTCCTGCTAAAATGTCAGGTTTTTTCTAAGATGTGAAACAATGAGACCGTGATAAAGTTAATAATAATAATAGCTTTTCAACATTTATCCCGTAAAATAATAAAATAAATAACTAATCTGCAACGACCTGGATGCATTAATGTGCACATCCTCAATCTAATACTTTGTTGGAGAATATTTGGATACTTTTTTTTTTTGGATTCAGTCTTCTTGCTTTCACACTTGACACCGGTTATAGTGAGTCTAATGAAACTGAAATAGAGTTAATGGTCAAAGTGAGATTTTCCTCCGTTCATTTTTACCCTTAACCTAAAGCCAGAAAATCTGTAAAGCAATAAAAGAGTGAATCTGTCACGTCCTCTCAACGTGACAGATTAGAAACATTTGCGTGGCAGAGTTTGAAAAAATACTGCCAAGTGAAGGTTGCTGACAGACTTCTACACAGGTGAATCATTTAAGTCGAAAGTGAATCATTTTGATCTGTAAGATGGAACAAATTTTTATCTGATGCATCTTAACAAATGAGAATGATTAAAAAAACAAACATCTTCTAGAAATTTATGTCTGGGCAGAAATGTAAACTTTGAAAGACCTTCAGAAAGCATGGAGATCTGTCTGAAACTACTCCAATGATGGAAACAAAACGAGGCAGGAAGCTGAATTTAAGAGAGGGTTGCACAATGCAAATAAATTGAACTATCATTGAAAAGGTTGTTTCTGACTGGATTCTAAATTGTTCGGGTGCAACTGAACACAAAAATTTGAGGAACAGATGTGTTAAGGATATATTTTACACATAGTTTTATATTTTATACGGAAAAAAAAGCATATCTGTTTTGCAGTCAGTGTAGGCTTAGCAGACAAACTCCTATTTTCACCTCACACATAAAGCTGCACTATTCAATAATAAATCAGCACATTTAAATATTCAACAAATGGAAAAAGCTGTTTTTTTTTTTATTTTGCTGCTGTCATCTTGGTGGCATGTGTTAACTTATTAAAATGCATTCTCCTTATCAGAAATCATTATGGGCTGCTGCTGCAGTGCAACATTTTCATCAGATGTTGCAACGAGACATTCAGTTAATAGAAATGGTCTTTGTGTTCCTCTATTGGTCCATAAAAAGATTTATCTGCACAAGTACAGTTGTAGTGTTTCCTGTAATTACAAGATATGTTGATGAGTGAGTCAGCTCTGCAGTCACCACTTCAGCTACACTTCCCATTACAAAGAGGAAACATCATTTCTGGCTGCCTGGTTTCGGGGTGCTAAAGAGGGGAGGGGCTGTTTGTGCTTTTCAGAGTTTTCTCCAAATGAGGAGAAAAAAGGGGGTAAATTCAGTACGTTCACTCAAGAACTCTTCCATGGCTGCACATGATTTCCCAAAAATATTGCTACCAAATAGCCAAGAACATCAGCTTCTTGTTATAGGTGGCGAAGACGTTCATATTACCTGCACATTCCTTGTTGTTGTTTATTTTCTTGAGCTTAAGTTCTCTCAGGTTCTGTTCTGTGAACTTGGTTTGTGGTTGGACTCAAACTTGTGAGACAACGTGTCACTTTGTGCATGCAGAAAAAGGTGTTGCTACCGTTTAGCACTTCTTTACTTTTACTCCACAACGTGCATCTCGGATTTCCTATCGTTGCTTTTCAAGTGAGAAAACAACACATACAAATCACAACCGGCGCTGAGAAACGACGCAGACGTCGATTAATGAATCCAACTTGATTTACGTTACGCTTGCTTTTCAGGATGCCTCAGAAATGATTAATATGTAAAGGATATTTAAAAATGAGGAATATATCAATTCGAATACGAATTGATAGACTGATAGATAAACTACAGGAGGAGTTGACTGAAAGAAACGAATGTGTACGTAGAGCGGATCGGAGATAAAAAAAAAAAAAATTCTACACGCCCCTGTTAGAATACCAGGATAATGTGATAAAAAAATTGTTTATGATAAATAATTTTAGATTGTTCCTCATTTAACATAACCTACAATAAATTAGTTTTTAAAGAAGTAAAAAAAAAACAACAAAATCATAAAAGTAGGAGTGTGTCAACATTAGTCAAGCGTAGACGTTTTATACCCACTACAGAGTGGGCCGAGCAATTACTGGGTCCTTTGATGAGTCAGTTCTGACAGAGAACATCACAGTTTCTCTCTCTGATAGCTGGTGTTTCTTAAATTATAATTTAACTTAATTGATTATTTTGAAACTAATAATTCTTAGAGATGAACTGATCACAGCTTTGTGACTCTGTCCTGCCGACGCCAATTTTATCTTTGATAATTATAAAAATACGAAGATATAAAACGTCAAAATTCTAAGTATTTTTCTGTCATGTCTCCTTGCTTATCAGCAGTCAGTAATAATTTATATTAAGGAGGAGAAATTACATCAGACTGTGCCTCAGAGCAGTCACTGTAAAACATAATTATATCATTTCTTAGATGCACAGACAAAAACATTTACAAATCAAGAATGTTCCATGACAGAGATCGAAACCTCAACTAAATAAAACATGGAGACATTTATGTTTATCATTACTTTTTATCTGCTTAAACTGTTGCTCTCTTTTGCCTAGAGTTCACTCAAAAATGACAGTTTCCTTTCTGATTTCTTTTTACTGCGCCCTTTAATGCTGACAATAACAATTTTTCAGTCTTCTTCCCTCAATAACAACTCCCACACCAAAGATTGCTGCTGCGACAAGGAATGTAGGTGTGATACATTCACTGAGGACATCTTTTCAAGCCACACTTTACTATTTTTTTGTTGTTGTCTTTCACTGTTTTGCCCACTTTAAAAATCTTTTGAAACTAAATAGATAAGTACATACTTGATGTTCTTATATCTGCTTTATCTGTGCCGGGTTTTGACGCACAAGTGATCATCTTCAGAAGTCAATAGGCAAGAGTGAGGGTGAGCAACACACAAGTCACAGGATATTATTATTAATTTTTTTTTTGCACTTCAGCAGAAAACTGGAGGGTCCAGAGGAAACTTCAGCATGTTTTCTGTGGACTTTAGTGGGACGAACCATAATAATACACTCTGATGACGCAACGCACCTTGGATAAGACACCTATGGTGTAGTAAATCAGAGATCCTGCTTTGAGTCGGTGAGCTTTTCCTTTTGAACTGCATGTTTAAGTTTCACAACGAACTCACAGCTGTGGTGACTGAGTTTCAGAGAGTGCTGCTGGAGTGTTTCTGCAGATAAAAGACCGGGCTCTTCTCATAAAAAAATGACCGGGATCGTCTCGACCCAGATTTTCTCCGAGGCGCAGCGTTTCAACGCGTAAGGGCTAACCTGGACTGGCCGGCTCCTGCGCAGCCTTCCTCAGGATCTCCGTCTGCTTGGAGCACAGCGCTTGGAGGCGTCCCACTTCCTCTGTTAACTCTGTGTAGGCAAGAGCCAAATTCACCCTGAAAGGAAGAAAGGAGGAGGGTAATTATGTAATTAGCATAATCATTGTTACAGCAGAACATTAAAGTGTTGGCACAATGTTAAGGTGTTACAACTGTGTGGTTATTTAAACTGTAATTGCAG